AGGGTATAAATCTCATTAAGAGTTATTAACTCAACCTCCATTGCTTTGGGATTCATGCTTCGTTATGCATGAACTTTTCGCATACTACTCATGACTTGTTATTACCCATTGAACCCATTTCTTGGGATCTCCAATCTATTGGGTCGGGTTACCATCACTTGTAGTCCGTGGTTCGGTAGGCATAAGTCCCATACCGTTGGCGGTATTCTGGACTTTCTCTCTAGGTAATCCTTTTGTCAAAGGAAAAGCTAGATTCTGTTCGGATCTTATATGATCCACCCTCACTGCTCCTATCGTTAGGTGTTCTCTTACAGTACTGTGCTTACGACGAATCTGTCGTTTCTTTTCGTTATAGAACTGGTTCTCAACTTTAGCGATATCTGCAGTACTATCACAATGGATCAATACCGGAGGGACCGGCCTTTCCCATAGTGGAATCTCTGACAACAATCCTCTCAACCAACTTGCTTCTTCACTAGCCGTTGCTAGTGCTATCATCTCTGATTCCATAGTTGATTGAGCTAGGATTGTTTCTTTCTTTGACTTCCAAGACACAGCTCCACCAGCGATGTTAAAAACATACCCGCTGGTTGCCTTGGAGTCATCTGATAGGGTATTCCAATTCGCATCACTATACCCTTCTAGTACAGCAGCAAACCTTTGATAGTGTATACCAAGGTTTGCTGTTCTCTTGAGGTATCTCATGACCCTCTCTATAGCATTCCAATGCTCTCTACTAGGACAGCTGTTAAACCTGCCAAGCAATCCCACGACATATGCAATGTCTGGTCGAGTGTAATCTGCAGCATAACGGAGACTGCCAATGATGCTAGCATATTCTGATTTTCTTACACTGTCTATAGCGTTCTTAAATAGATTTACACTAGCATCATACGGAGTACACGCATGTTTACAGTCGAAATAGTTATATTTCTTCAAGTTCTTCTCTATGTAGCTAGATTGATCTAGAGAATAACCATTTGCTGTTCTGGTTATCTGGATTCCAAGCATAAACTTTGCTTCTCCCAGATCTTTCACCTCAAAGCTCTCTTTCAACATGGCTTTTGATTCATTGACAACGTGAATATTTGTACCAAATATCAACATGTCATCTACATACAAACATATGATAGTGCAAGTGTTATTTTCTGACTTGCATTAAATACACTTGTCACTTTCATTCACCTTAAAGCCATGTGAGAGAACGAGAGTTCCAAACTTCTCATGCCACTGTTTTGGAGCCTGTTTCAAACCATATAATGATTTGTCTAACTTACAGACTTTCAAGGCATGTTCGGGGATAACAAACCCTTCTGGTTGTTCCATATAGATTTCTTCATCCAGATCACCGTTCAATAAAACGGTCTTAACATCCATTTGGTGTACCACGAGATTGTTCAAGGCAGCAAGAGAAATCATTACACGAATGGATGTTATTCTTGATACTGGTGAATAGGTATCGAAGAAATATATATTCTCTCTCTACCTGTAGCCCTTAACTACTAGGAGAGCTCGGAACCTTTCGATTGCACCATCAGGTTTCCGTTTCGTTTTTAGAAACCATTTATTACCTAAGACTTTGCATCCAGGAGGTAAGTCTGTTAGATGCCAAGTCTTATTAGCTTCTAACGATTCCATTTCATCTATAATGGCCTCATTCCAAAAATCTGCATCTATGAAAGTTAATGCTTCCAGCAAACTTTTTGGATCTTCGAGGGTGTATACTGTAGTAAAGTCATCACCAAAATCTTTAGAGATTCTAGCTCTTTTACTTCTTCTGAGTTCATCCTCGGAACCAACACCCCCACTAGTTCCGTTATCTCTAATAGCGGGTAGTACATTACCCCCACTATTTCTCGTTTTAAATGGAAATCGTGTCTCAAAGAAATCAGCATCAATGGATTCTATTATAGTATGAGCATTCAAATCATAGAATCTATATGCCTTACTATTGGCAGCATAGCCAACAAAGGCACATTCATATGCTCGACTAGCCAACTTAATCCTCTTAGGATCCGGAATTCTTACGTAGGCCAAACAACCCCACGTTCTTAAATAGGACAGATTAGGTGGCTTATTCTTCAAGATCTCATAGGATGATTCTTTTCTATTTTTTTTGGAAGACGGTTTAGCACATAGCAAACCGTCAACAAAATATCATCCCACCAAGAAGAAGCAGCTCCAGAATTGAGCATAATAGCCACAACTAATTCTGTAAACGTCCTATTTTCCGCTCAGCTTTACCATTCATTTATGGTGAATATGGTGCCGTGGTTTCATGAATGATACCATGTGAGCTATAGAATTCCTTGAAGGGATTAGAGTCATACTCTGATCCTCTATCACTCCTAAGTCTTTTTATCTTTCGATTGCACTGATTTTCAAATTCAACCACAAATACCTTGAACATGTCAAGGGCTTCACTTTTGTTTTTCATCAAATAAACAAAGCAATAATCAGAGCAATCATCAAATGAACATCCCATTACATGCATATCCCTTTCCCACAAAACTCTCATTCTTAGTAAGGGTATACAAGTCTGTCCCAATAGATTGATTAAACCCAGCCTTATTAAGAAGATATCCCAAAACAAGATTCTTCCTTATCTCTAGAGTGTGCAACACATCCTTGAGCACCATCTTCTTCCCAGAGGTGAAGTTCAGCTCCACTTCAACAGAACCATCAACCATAGTGGTGTGAGTAGTCCCAACAACACTTTTCTTGCCAGCAGGTGCTTCTGTGTATGTTTTAAACATAGCACGATCGTTACATACATGCTTCGATGCACCTATATCCAGCCACCATCCTTATGAGTCACCGGTGAGGTTAACTTTAGGGATCATATCCATGATCATGGCTATCAAATCCTCTTCTGTCAAGTTAACACTGGCCGCACCGGCAGGGTTTTGCTTGTTCCGGCACTTTTTTGCCATATGACCTGGTTTTCCGCAGCTATAGCAGATAAACGGTGGGTCATTCTTAGAGGTTTGGGCCATGACCCTTTGGTTACCTCGAGAGGCACCATTCTGGTGGGGGCGGACCTGCTGGTTCTTACTCTTAAACCCTTTCTGGTTAGGTTTAAGAGCTCTAGGGGTGGGTCGTTTAGCAGTGACGACCATCACCTCTTCTTTCATATCCTGCTTGCGGGACTCTTCCTCAATCCTTAGGCGAGTAATCAAGCTTTCCAGTGAAAATTCTTTGGTTTTATGCCTAAGCATATTCTTAAAATCTTTCCACGAAGGGGGCAGCTTATCAATAATGCAAGCAACTTGAAATTGATCGTCCAGAGGCATACCTTCATAGACGATCTCATGAGCTATTTTCTGAAGTTCGTGGGACTGAACTTTGACAGACTTGTCATCCACCATCTGGTAGCGCAGGTAGCGGCTGACAGCATACTTCTTAGCTCCAGCCTCCTCCGTGTCGTACTTCTTTTGGAGCGCATCCCAGATCATCATCGCGGTGTTCTTGTTGTCCGCATAGTAGTCGTAGAGATCGTCTGCCAGGCCGTTGAGGATGTAGTTTCTTGCACAGGAAGTCATGCTCCCTTTCCTTAGCAGAAGCAGCCCTCTCCTCATCGGTCACTTCTTCCAGCAGCTCGACGGGCATGCTGGTGAGGCAGTGTGCCAACTTCTTGGTCGTCAGGTAGAACTCCATCTTTTGTCTCCAGCAACAGAAGTTGACTCCAACGAAGCGGAAGGGTCGATTGATATCGATAGCACCAGATCCGGCCATGTTGTTCTGTTCAGTCGACATAGCAGCAGCTGAACGTCTTAAAATTGTTAGGAACGGAACAACAACAAGAACGAGGTTACCGAATCTGGAGTTGAGTCGCGGACTAGGTCGCTCTCTTTAAGACGTTCGCGGCACTGCCTTCGATGCGCACGACAGACTATCAACCGGTCGTCTCCAGGATATAACAGCTTTTCTCAATACTCGCGGTTTTGTGCGAAAACCGAAGTTCTCTGAACACTCTCTCTATTGTGTTTATGCTCGTTGTGATGTGTATAGAGGGGTTGGGGAGGCGGCTATTTATAGGAGCCGAACCCCTAAGAGTATACCCTCTTGCTTGGGGAATAAGTCGGATTAATTAAGGAAGATAATTACTTAAAACCGTCGGTTAAGATAAATCATGCGGATTATCCTTCGAATATTCCTTTTTAATCGATTATCCTTAGAATATTCCTCAGAATAACCGATTAATAATTAATTATTAGATAATTAATTTCATTCCTCAAATAACCGATTAATAATTAGATAATTAATTTCGTTCGGAATTTCTCCAAAAAATATATATAGTCTCAAGTGAACCAACCAACCGGCCGGCCGGTCAGACGGACGGCGCGGGCGCGCGCGTGTATGTGGTGGTTCGTTAGGTCCTCCCTCTCCCACAAAAGTGGGTCACCCCAAGGGGCATGCCCTTAGGAGAGAGGCTCCTATTTTATACACATTTCACCAAGTAAAACTACCAATGTGGTAGTTTTTTCACTTGAGACTCTATAGCTTTCAAAGCTATTCATATATACATTTCAAACAGTGTCGGTTGTGCCGAGGAATTCAAACTTTTTTCTTTTACGGAATAAATGTAAGAAGGTGAATATACAAGGAGTTTAGTGGCGGCGTCGCTATAGAATGGAGATTGGTTCGTCGACGGGGAACTTACCGGAAGTGCTTTTGATAGGCTGCCGGAGAGGGGGAACCGGGAACGATGAAGACAAACATAATATTTTCAGTCCCGTTTTTTCCTGTTTATGGAGAAAAAGAATTCAATTCAAATCAACAGTCTTTTTTGTTAATGGAATTAATTGAAAAAACAAGGCAAAATTCACTTCAATAGTCATAACTTTACACTTTGTGAAAAATATAGCCAAGTTTTGAAAAATACACAGAAATAGTCATTTCGTCCATTAATATAATGGAACCGTAACGACGGCTAACTGGAAAAACGGTCGTCTATGGTTGCCACCGATTTCGTCTATATGGCATGCCAGGGTGGATTTAAAATTTAATTATATTTATTAAAAAAATTTACTTTACCAAATTATTACTTCTGTTCCTCTTCTACATCGGCCCTCCCCATTTTCTCTTTTCCTATTCCCAGAAACCCACCTTCATTCCACTCCAACTCCACCGGCCACACTCTCAATCGACGAACGGAGCAAGATGTTGATTTCACCCCACCACCTGCTCACCTTCCCATCGATTCAGTTCACCACCACCCACACCTAGCTCCCCACCTCTCGCCTCCCGCTCCCGCCGTGTTCCCCGCCTTATGGCCTTCCCTACCGCTGCCGCCCTCATCCTTCCTTTTATCTTTGTTCTTCGTATAGAACAGAGAAAATCAAAGCCATAAGGATATTCTGAGAAGGAACCCAGTCCGAGCGATGCTTGACCACCATCCCTCATCGTCACTAGCAAAGGAATCCAAAAGCAACCCACAGCAGAGGCGACCGAGCCAAAGCCAACCCCAAATCCGCAATATACTTGCTCGATTAGAACGAGTAGAGGAGACCGATCCGAAGCCACCCCCAATTGAAGGTACGATATCCCAAAACCACCTTTTTAAAGCTCGATTCATCCAAAGGAGATACCGGCGGCCGCTTCCACCGAGCTTGCTCCCGAAGACGATGAAGAAAGGTCGGAGAAAATTGATTTCCAGTTTTCTGCTTTTCCTTGTAGCCTTCGCCGCCGCACAATTGTTTCTAGTCGGCGCTGCTACTTTGCCAAAATATTGATTCGCAGATTAGGGTTTGTGGGTAAAAATACGATGTGTATTGGTTGGAGAAGATGATGTCGGGTACCAACAAGACTTCTTCCTCACTATTTTCTTTTATCAATTTTTGTTTTTTATTTTTTCCTTTAATTGAAAACAAAGAAGGGGAATCGGTCAACTGAGTCCGTTTGTTTTTTCTTATTTTCTTTAATCTTTTTAATTTTTTTTTGTAATAAACAATATTTTTAATTTTTAATTTGACATGGCATGACACGTCGACTAAGAGTGGATGTGTAAGCTGACGAGGCGCCATCTCAGCTTGTTGTTGACGGACGTTAACAACATCTCTAACTCCGTCATTTTTTTAACGGAAATGGCTATAATTCTCAAGGTAGTTTAAAATTTGTGGCTATTTCTGTGTATTTTTCAAAATTTGGCTATATTTGTCACAAAGTGTAAAGTTATGGCTATAGAAGTGAATTTTGCCAAAAAAATAAATAATACAAACTGACTGAAAAGTAACAAGACGTGTAATGGTCTAACGGAAAAGGGGTGACGGTTGGGCCAAAATTCTGGGCAACAAGTTTGGGCTTCGGCTTTATAATGACTCAACCAATGCCACCTCATTGCACGCGTGGACCAATCATAAATAGCGGTACACCAATGTGCCGCACCTTTTACGGCGGCACCATAGTATTGGCCAAGTGTGAGATGAGCTTCATATTGGGCTCTTAGTTTTTGTATACCGAACCACATATTGGGCTTTAAGTACCATATCCGTGCATGTTTCCAAAAATTCGCTTTGATGTGCCCATGGCTTGATGGTCTTGTGCTACATTGAGCCTTGGCCCTTGAAGCCTTGTCGACGACAATACCTTTGTATGAGTTGCAAGTTGTACTGTACGTATGTACCGATGATCTTACTGGAAAAAACTTGATACGAGAGGTTAAATTAATATGTGATTTTAAACCCTAAAAAAAATATATATGCCATTTTAACAGTTTAAAATGATGGACTATGATTGAAATACAATTTCTATAAAAAATATCCAATGCTAGCATTTTCTATACAACTTTTTGTAAGATTTTACAATCCTAGATTCAGTGGCGAATTAAGAAATTTTTTATAGAGTATCTTCTTCCAAAAATTAAATTTAATAAAAAATTAAATTAAATAAATAATAAATAAAAAATATCCGACTAGTGCAAATATACCATATTAGACAATAATTCACAAACTGATCGCATATTCGATTTCTAATCTTGTTCCTGATGTAACTCAAACTTGAAAGACTCTTTCAACTCTTGCAGTATACCTATAAAATTAATTAAAATTAAGGATAGCTCGAATGAGTTTAATTGTAAGATTTTGAAAATAATGGGGAATAAAGAATAGGGTTTTTACTATTACATATTGTTTAAAATAGAACAACAAATGAGTTGCAACCTAGAGAATATGTTTGATAATAGTAGTATTCTAGGTTTGAATAACACAGAGTACTACTTATATATTTTTAATCATAAACAAACTACTATCAAAGACAGGATAATTATTTTTTCAAAATTTAAGAGTGTCCTGGATTATCAATTATATTTTTTTTATCCATACGAAATTACTAACATAATTGAATAATTATTTTCTCAAATTTTAGTCGTGTCCCGCCAAAACTCATAACTCATGTATGATGTATCCGCCACTGTCTAGATTAATACTTAGAAAACAATCAAATTTCTAATTCTTCAAATTGCTTTTCATACGGGTCGAATAGGATCCGGTTGGGTATGATTAGGCCTTTAATAAAGCGAACATCCACAAATGGAAGAATTTGGGAATTCTACCTAGTTTTTGCCGGCTCGCCCGCTCCGGAAATTAGGGCTGAAAATTGGCCCGACCCGCCCCTGACCCTGTCCTGACCCTGTCTGACCCGCCCCTGAAGGGTCAAGATGTATAACTGACCCGCCCCGACCCTGTTTCTTTCATGACCCTGTCTGACCCTTTAGGGTCGGGGCGGGTCAGGAAGGGTCGGGTCAGTGGGTCGACCCTAATAAATAGACTACTTTTCTAAAAATTACAATTTGGTACCCGAATTTATTTTTTCTTACATTTTAGTACCTAAATTTAATTTTTTTTACAAATAAGTCCCTAAAATTTGATGGTAAAATTACGTTTTGGTACCCAAATTTTTTAATTTTCACAATTTAGTACCTAAATTTTTAAAATTTTACAAATAGGTCCAACATGTTTCTATGATGCTAAGGGTCATAGGGTCAAAAAGTGACCCGACCCTAAATTGACCCGACCCTATCTGACTCTGACCCGACCCTAAGCCGACCCGACCCTAAATTGACCCTATAGACAAACTGACCCAGCCCGACCCGGAGGGTCGGGGCGGGTCGGGGCGGGCCAGTGGGTTTTAAGGGCCAAACTTACACCCCTACCGGAAATATCTAACCCGACAACGAGCTTTGGTTAATATGCTATCCAACCGGCAACAGGTGGAACCGCCCACCTAACTACCTAAGTGACCAAACTACCCCGCAAACATACTAAAATACCCTTGACTCTTACGTGTCAATCATCCATTGGTCTCAACTATACAGGAATAACACCCTCGCCACCGGCTGATAAAACCTCCCAAAACCCTAACCCTCTTTTGCTCCTCCATCTCTGACTTCGTTTTTGTGCACCATCCTCGACGGGAGCAGAGAATCAACGGCCACTAGGGTTATAGCTATAATTGAGCAGAAGACCCGAGCGAAGGAGAGAGGGTAGACTTCCGCTTAAGAAAAATGGTGGCTGACAAGGGGAAGAAGATGAAGGTGGAGAAGGGCGGCGAGGAGGAGAATCACCCTATCGATGAGGAGCTGGTTCTCTCCATCGAGAAGCTCCAGGAGATCCAAGACGAGCTTGAAAAGGTTGGATATAAGCAGTTCCTGTGCATGTTTTTATGTGGGTTCTAAATGCGTATGCAATTGCGTTCCTGGGTCTTCTTCAGATGGGTGCATGGTCTTTGCTCGGTTAATTGTGGCCTCTTGAGGTGGAATGATGAGAAATTAGTGAATTTGAGTTGGGATTTTTTGACGTTTGAATTGTCGGATGGGAGTTGAGCTATCCAATTTCAGCTCGATGATAGCGTTTTCACCTTCCTCTGTCTAGTTTAGGGTATCTTTAGTCTCCAGGAGTAATCATTGCCCTCCTTGGCTTTGTGATTTTTTTTTTTGTTTTTCTCTCTTCTCGTTTTGAAATATGAAGTTGCAGAGTGACGCATTTTGGCCGAAATATAGGACCTTTCTTGTAAAGGTTTGGCCTTTCACATTGGCAAAGCTGTTAAATTGGACCCCAGGAGTGATGCATTGTACTTGTGTGTCGTGCTCGTTGGTTTATCTCGTGGACCCTCAGTTCCAGTTTTTCCTCTGTTTAGTTCGCTTATTTCTTGGATTAACCTGCTTGCTTTAATTGAACCTGGAAAATATCTAATATATATTTTCCTAAAGGACTGGAGCCACGTTAATAAATGACCTGGTAGCAGTGAAGATTGTGATGGTTTAAGCAGAAGTTTTTTTTGGATTGGATGTCTTCTAACTTTTGTGATTTTAATCCTGATTTTGTACCTTGTTTTGCATGCATAGTGTTAGCTGATGCAGGGAAGTTTCATATGTAAATTTTTTCTAGTTTGGTGGTTGGGAAGGACATTTTAGGTTTGTAGTTCACATTTTCTGTCGTCTTTCTCTAGATAAACGAAGAGGCAAGTGATAAAGTGTTGGAAGTGGAGCAAAAATACAATGTGGTTCGCAAGCCAGTCTATGACAAGCGAAATGATATCATCAAGTCCATTCCCGACTTTTGGTTGACAGCTGTGAGTATTTCTTAAAATTTTACCAACTTATCTACATAGATGAATTTTAGCTGAAAATCTATTGAGAACTCGGCTAATGGATCCAATCCTGTTAATTGTGCAGTTTTTAAGCCATCCTGCACTTGGTAATCTTCTCAACGAGGAAGACCAAAAGGTGTGTTTCCGTGTCCCACTTGAACTGGATACTCAGTTATCAATATTCCCTATCCTGCTTGAACATGCTGCCTGGTTTTCATATCTACTTGACATTTTGAACTTCAATACAATACTTTCTCTGTGGTTCTTCCACGCTCCACAGTTGTGTCTTACATGTTCTGTTTTTTTATGCCTTCTAGGTATTTAAACATCTGAGTTCTTTGGAAGTGGAAGACTTCAAAGATGTGAAGTCGGGCTACTCCATCACATTTGTAAGTTCATTTTCTCCTTTTGTTGTATTCTTTAGGACAATTACTCCTCTCCCCTAAAAAAAAGAAGAAGAAAACCCCAATAACTACTTATGTTATACCTTCTTATCGCAGAACTTCGAGTCCAATCCGTATTTTGAACATACAAAGCTCACAAAGACATTTACCTTCCTAGACGAAGGCACAACAGAAATTACTGCTACTCCAATAAAGTGGAAGGAAGGCATGGTGAGTTTAATGGTTTCATCTATTGAAATTCTGAAGTCCTGATTCGCTCTTGATGTAGCTTCAATTTGACATGTGAAGGGTCTGCCTAATGGGGTTAGTCACGAGAAGAAAGGTAACAAGAGGCCTTTGGCTCAGGAGAGGTTGGTTTCCATATTCTCTATGTTTAATTGAGCTTTAACCTTGAAGGAGAATGATCCGAGTGGGAGAAACGTGGTAGAATCTCTGTGCTTAATGTTCTGTTAAACAAAATCATTCGTGCTGTTATTGTCTTTCATGTTATTTATGAAAGCAGAAAGGAGAGCTTCTTTATGGATTCTGTGCAACATGAAATCTGCCCCATGCCTCTTACTTTGTCAAATGCATACTGTAATCTTGGTTCCCAGTTTAATTAATAACTGATTTATTTTTGCAATGCAGTTTCTTTACCTGGTTTAGCAATACTCAACCAAAAGACATGATTGATGATATCCAAGATGAGGTAAAGTTCATCTGTATAGTTTGCTTTTGCTGGCTGTAGTTTTGGTTTTTCATAAATTTCCTTCTACTGGTTGCCTCTTTTGCTGAAGCTGTTAATGAACTTGCAGATTGCAGAGATCATCAAGGAAGATTTATGGTCCAATCCTCTCTCGTATTTCAACAATGTACTTTTCTATCCTTTTCTCCCGCAATGAGCCGTCGAAATTAATTCTGTAAGTGACATTTTTCTTTTGGCTACTGTTCCAATGTAGGAGGCCGATGAAGAGGAGTTTGAGGTTGATGATGCTGAAGAAGGGGTAAACAATTTTTCACTTTTGTTTTAAATGATTGACAAAGTGTTTTAAAGGGGGCACCAATGGGAAAGGCAATGACTTTGGCGGGGATATTTCCTGGCTCAAATCTCATTGCCACCATTGTGCAGAATACAATCTATGAGGGGTAGTGGCGAGAAGCACCTGCCAGCGACCATGGTTGGCGTTTATTTTGGCTTCTCTCGGAGGGTCCTTCATCATTTAAAAAAATTAAGTGTTTAAGGAGCACCATTCTGTTTATTGTGATTGGGGGTGTGTTGATTTATCTATAATTTTAGATCCTTGAATTCAAGTTAGGAAAAGAACATAAATAAGATGAACACTTAGTAGTATCGGTACTTTCTTTTAAATTTCTTTTTATGGTACAAAATGAACTTGTACCAATAACTTTATGGTACAAATTCAGCTTCGGTCATTCGTAGTTGCTCTGGCATTTGAGTTTTGCAGCATTAATTGAACTTTGTGAGTTTTTCCCTGCCTGGAAATTATTCCTCCTGTTCTGCGAAATTCACCAGTGCAGATGTCCTCCTGAAAGCTGCACAGATTAGTCAGCTCTGCAATTTGCTTAGGTGTACTAGTTTTGTAGTTGGTGCTTATTATCATGACTTCGTGCTTGGTCATCATTGGTCATATCCAGTGTCTGTTTATGTTTTTCTGGTCATGCTCCGGATAATCTAATGCTTAGGACCATGGATACAGATGCTTTTTTTAATTGTTTGGCCAGTGAACCTCCTCTTCTTTGATGGCCTGGTTTCTTATGTTTCCAAGTTATGTGTCAGGACAAGGAAGGAGATGACTCTGATGAAGATGACGACGAACAAGATGATGATGAAGATGATGGGGAAGATGATGAAGAACGTGATGAGTAGAAGAATGGTGGCATGTAGATGCAGTTGGTTGGTGGGCGCGAAAGTTCATCACTATATGCGGAGTCTTTTGTGTAAAGTGGTTCTGGTAAAGTGATGATTGCTCCAGTATCTGTATCTGGGTCATATGGAGGATAACGGACTACTGTACTAATTTCCTACAGTACTTCATTAGCAGTAGCAGCTCTCCCTCTCTATCGTGCAGGCAGTTTCAAGATGAGTCTGTAGTTACCTTAAACTTGCCGAAATCCCTGTTTTGAGCCTTTTTTCCTCTTTTGACGAGACATCCTTTCTCTCATCTTTTCCTGGTTTCCTCCACTGGCTGTTAATCTTATGAATACGGTAGTCTGTGATATTTTGTTCCAGTTGATAACTTTAACGAGGCCATTGTTCTTTTTCCATTTTACTATATCGTGTAATGTAATAAATAGTTTCTTGGAATGTTCTAATTTTACTAAAGGTAGTTAAAGGGTTTAATGACCAAATGAGATTACTAAAAATGTTCGTGTTTGGTCACTCTCTGTTAATTTTGTGAGATGTGGCAGTAAACTCTCAGAGTTAACTGTTAAATGTATGACGTGATAATTAAAATTTAATAAAAAAATAATTTTAAAAATATCCATCTCATTAATCACTATTATTAAAAATAAAAAATATTTATTTTAAATCTCACCCCTCTTTCTCACTGTAGAGTGTCGACTGAAATTGGTGAAGGAAGAAGATGTAATTGTTGTTGTTTTTCCCCTAAATTGTTACGTTTCCCCAAAATGCACAAGTGAAGAATTCCAGAAATCTAGTGATGGTTGTCGGTACAAGTCCTCAACAATTTCTCAAAACAGTCCGCTCCTAGATCCTCTAACACCACCACATTGCTCTGCCCTGCTGCCGATTTCGTAATAATTTTGTGATGATCGTTGTTCTTATAATGATGGGCAGCACCTTCCAACAACTGCTTCCCCGGCGACAGCTGCCGGTCCTTGCTCTTCTTACACGTAGACTTCCTCCGAACGGAATGGCGGCCCTTCAGGGCCAGCACCGGCGAGCACCCGGCGGCGTCACCTTTTTGGTCGTCGAACATCCCTCCGCAGCCGCAGTTTTTTTTCCCTTCCAGCGACTCCCTCACCCTGTCCACGAGGAAGTTGAGCACCGCCATGGGTCCCCGCACGGCGAATGCGGCCTGGTCGTAGGCCATCGCCGCCTGCTCGGCGCTATCGAACCGACGGCCGTTGCCGTAGTACTGGCCGCTCATTTACCTCTTCTTCCCTCACCAATTTCAGTAGAAAGAGGGGTGGTATTAGGTTTTGGGATTTAAAATGAATATTTTTTATTTTTTTAATTTACAAAATACATGAAGGCAAACATGAGTTGTAATTCTCCCATTTCAAATTTCGTGACTTGAGAGTGATTGGAGGAAGGTTATTTTTGTCATTGCACTCAATTCATGTTTATATATTAAAAATGTTATCATAAGACTTCGAACATTTGTCACTTAAATGAAAGAAGAGCATTTTCACCAACTAGCTACATTTTATTTATTGTTATTTCTTTGATTAAACTCTTAGCAATATGTTTGGTGATGATGCTTCTATATTTATATGTTATCTTAAGTTATTATATTTTATTAAAAGAGATTAGTTCTGAAATCGAAACTAAAGTAGTGTTGAATCAAATATTAATATTAAATTATATGTGTTGTTTAGTTTAGACAAAATACAGAAAGGTAACCAAAACATGGACCTTTGTGACAAGTATAATCATTTTTTATGACAAATCTACACATAATATACTGATAAAATTGAAAAATGAGAGTCTCATTTCAAATTTCGTGGACTAAGAGTGATTCTAGGAAGCTCTTTTCGTCATAGTGCCCAATTTATTTTTTATATTATGTGTAAATTTGTGACAAAAAAATTACTATATTTGTCACAAAGATCCATGTTTTTGCTACACATATGTATTTTGTCTAGACTGAACTACACATACAATTTATTATTTAATGTTAGAATCAATGTTACATGAGTTCCGATTTTACAATTAATCACTTTCTATAAGATATAATAATTCCAGGTAAAATACTTTTTTTTTTGTAGAAAGGTAAAATACCTTTCCTACTTGGTTGGGGAAGCTCTTTCTATAAAATATATTTCACTAAACAAAAAAAATTTATCTTCTTAAATTGTAAAAATACACTAAGCAAAGATTTGAAAAACAGAGGACTTTTCACGGTTAGCTAGCCTATTAAATCTTCTGAAAAGCAAAGTTTAATGCGTGATTTATAATTTTTAGGGTGTGCCTACGGTGACATGCATGTCTCGACCTCAGTTAGAATTAGGTCGACCACATTTAGAATTCGGTCGACCTCATATAGGATCTGGTCGACCTCATTTAGGATTCGGTCGACCTCATATAGGATCAGGTCGACCTAATCTGTTGTTTCAGTGTAAAAACAGTTCATGGTGCCTACTTTGGATATTCATATCATACAATTGGCTAGATGGAAATTGAAGACTAATGACTTGTTTTGAAGCTGGAGTGTCCCTCTACATATTGAGGTGATTGAGAGCTTGATAGGAAGTCTAGAAGACCATTTTTGAACCTCATCAAAAGGCTATGTTAAAACTGGGAAACTGCCTGGAAATGGCTAAGTCTGGAAACGTGTTTGTGAAGCCTATTTTGAAGCTCAATTCGAGAAGCATGAATGTGAGTCGAGTCCAGGAGCCTCTACCACGTTAAATTAGGTATGTTTTTATACAAATTCAAGGCATTGGATGAAATATTGGATATCTGAAGGCTTCAAACAAAAGGGTCAAAGTTGCTACGAAGGCTGTTTTTCTAGCAGAAGCACAAGCAAGCTGCCAGAAAAACAGCCTTCGTAGCAACTTCGAGCTTTTTGTTTGAAGCCTTAAAGATATTCAATCTTTTATCCAATGTATTTCCTTTGTATAAAAAAATACGTAATTTAACGTGGTAGAGGCCCTTGGACTTGACTCGCATCCATGCTTCTCAAATTGAGCTTCAAAGTAGACTTGACAAACACGTTGCCAGACTTAGCCATTTTCAGGCAGTTTCCCAGTTTTGGCATAGCCTTTTGGTCAGGTTCAAAAATGGTCTTCTAGACTTTCTATTGAGCTCCCAAGTACTTTACTGGGTAGAGGGACACTTCAGCTTCAAAACAAGCCTTTAATCTCCAATTTCCAAATAGCCAATTGTAAGATATGAATCTCCAAAGTAGACACCATGAAACTGTTTTTACACTGAAACAACATATTAGGTCCACCTAATCCTATATGAGGTCGACCGAAAAGTGCATGTCACCGTGACATGCATGTCAGCGTAGCAAAGTCCTAATTTTTATAACCTATACAATGACGGGTAATCTTAAACTTGAAACACAAATTTCTTTGTTTGAAATATTGCATATCGAACTGCAGTATTGAATATGCAAAAACGATGTAGAATTCTTTAAGTTAATATAAAATTTCAAAACTAATACGAAACAATGATATTTTGTGCAAACTATAGGTGATTGGTTCTCTAAAATTTTAGCCTACTTAACTGCTATACGTTAAACTCTTGCTAATCGGGCATGAATGGACCGGACAATAATGAGACGATATCGAGTTTAGTGTGATGTTCATTTAGTCAAGTTTGGATCGGATATGTAATGTAATCTAAATATTTGTGATGCTTGAAATAATTTATGTATGATTTAGAAGTATAATTATTATTTTGTAACATAAGTTGTAGTTTATTCAAATGTAGTATTCATGAGGTAGTCAAAATCGAATACTGGGTGCATTTATGGCTGTCTTTATCTTGGTGTTATGAATAGGTAGAAACTTAATTATTAAAATTCATCTAACTACACCTAAGCACATGGTCGATCTAGCATGACACAGTTAGAGCATACCATGAAGACAATGTATATGGATCGGCCATGTACAAACATAAATGCTTCATGGGTCATACCAGACTTTAACTTCAAAGGCTCGCGCACAAGTGCGAGCACCACACAGTATTTATTGGTGAACTCATATTTTATGGAGTAATGCGCCATTTGATAGAAATAAAATATTCTAAAAATAACATATAAAATTTGAATGAGTGAGTAGTTTCTCACATCAACGTGTGACGGCTCATATTCCAAAAGGTTTATAAAATACATTCATTGGTTATTTTGAGACTCGAACCTTCTTAATTGTATGCAACTAAAAATTCATTTATAAAATCATTCTTGATTAACTTCATAATTGAAAAGTCTTTTTTACAGCTTGCAGTAATAACAAACAACGTCAACAATAACTTTAGAAGCAAGTAAAGTGAAGAAGAAATTGAGATTTAGTATTTCTTTGCAAATGTGTATGGGGGAGATTATTTTTGTCTATAAAATTTGAGGAAGGGTTGAAACTCATATATCATTTTTTTGAATATTGCATATTGAATTGGAGTATTGAACATTTTGGAAGTGATATACAATTCTTAAATTAGTATTAGTTTTAAGCCTAGTTAACCAATAGCCTTAGACCTTTTGCTAATCTGACATGGATCCAATAATCATAAGGAGAGATTTAGTTTGATATGGCGTCGGTTCAAAACCATTTTTATGTGCAATGAATTTGTACGACAAATACATGTAAAGTGAAGATGAACCTGATTATGCATGTTGATTCTTTAGATAAATACAATGGTTTAAAGCTTGAAGCGATGAACTAACTATACACTCACTCGATTGGTTTTACGAGTTGTATTTTTATCACTTTTAATAATTAAGTTATTCACAAGCTATCAAGCTACTTTGTTCCGTCGATGAATAAGCGACCATCTATTCGCTAGGTTTTCGGTGTTCTGATTCACACTATCGACTGTGAATGGAGAAGAAGCATTTCGAAAGCAAAACTGGATAAGTAATTGGGATGTTTCTAGGTTTCTCTTGATTCCAGGCGGTGGGAAGAAAGAGGAAGGAAAAATGGGGAGAGTGGTGAAATAAGAAACTGAGAGAGAGAGAGAGAGAGAGAGAGAGAGAGAGAGAGTGAGTGAGTGAGAGGACACGTTTAAAAGAGGAGGAAAATGAGGTAGTGTGAAATAATTGCCCTTCTGCTTTGATTAGTAGATATTCTTGTTCATATTCTATTGAATTTTGATTTATTTTAGGAGATGACATTATATTTGACATATTTTTATAATTTCAATTTAAAATCCTAAATCAATATTATCATTTGGAATATTTTTTCCTTAGTACGATTATTGTAATTTTTGAAATTTAAGGGGTATTTGATGATGTCAATATTTTCTTTCATCCTAAAGGTTGATTATGTATGTACTATGAGAAGAAACTCTAATATTCAACTATATGGTTTAATTAAGTAATGAATGACAATTAGTTATATTTATTTTTTTCATTCAATAATTATATGTAATGCTTATATTATATTTTTTTCTCTTTTCATACATGTTTGGATCACTTTCAAAAGTATTATGTGCATAACTAAAGTAGAAAACAATCATTTCATGTATTTCAAATCATCTATTATATCCATTATTAATTTATTATATACCATATTACTCAACAAAATTCTTCCGGCAAACGGGCCGGGTCCTGTACTAGTTGTTAATAGCAGTGATAATGAGGTGAAATAGTTAAAATTATTGTTTTTAATAATTTTTAATTGCCACGTCATATATTTAACGCTCAACTCTGAGAGTTGACTGCCACATCATACAAAGTTAACAAGGTTAGACGGAGAGAGTGACCAAACATGAATTTTTAACCCCCAAAAAGAACTTCTCTTTCTAACTTTTATTTCAAAAAATTTTCCTCTAACCTCTCTTTAAAGAACTCTCTTCCGGGATTTTGAGGGGGCTGCTGTTAGTGCTTCCCCGGCGATCGACAGCAGCTCTCCAACCCCTCTTTTTTTTGTTTCTTGCTTTTCCCAGCCTTTTCGCTCTTGCTCCCCTTCGATTTCCTTCTTCAGCCATTCTTGGACTTGCTTTCCCTGCTTGTGTTCTTTCCCTTTGTGGGTTGGTGTTCTCCCCCTTGGTTGGATTGAGTTTTTTGTCCTCTGGTCTGATGATTCAGATCATGAGATGTCTGTCCGTCTAAGATGCAAGGAGGCTAGATCTGCAAAGATCTGGCTTGTCTTCTCCTCTTCTTTCCATAGCCTACCTCCTTGTTCTCACCTTGCAGATCTTGGTGGTTCGGAGATGCAGCCCATGGCGAAGGATGCGGTTTTGGAGAGCTTGAAGATAGAAGATCGCTTCCCCTCCGTTTCATCCAGTGTTGTGAAAACCGAATCAGATATCGATCCGGATAAACGAGAGGTTTAAGGTTTGTCGGATAACCGTTGATTAACCGGTATTAAAAACCGGTTTGAAACTAGTGTTTGGTCTATATAGAAAGAAGGCCAAATACACTTGTGTAGCCAAAACTTTGACGGTTTTGCCAAATATAGCCACTTTTGGCGAAATACAAAAAATAGCCAAAAATTTGAAAGTTTGATGACAATAATAGCCATTTCCTTTACATAGTTTGACGGCGTCAGTGACACCGTTACTCTAAATAACGGAACGATGATGTGGCTGCCAACTCACCTGACACATCATTGACAACTCACCAACACTTGCCACATATACATGACACGTAAGATTTTATTTAAAAATAGGCTCCTACTCAGCGCACACATCAGCGCCAAATAAGCTGAGAATGCCACATCATAATTTATATTTATTTAATAACTACTCGTCAAAAATTGATTAATAAACATAAAAAAAGAAAATAAATCAATTGATTGTTTGTCCTTCCCCAAAAATCAAAGCTGCCCGGATCCGCCTCCGAGATCTTTCAATCCGGCCGCCAAAATCTCACCTCAATCAGCCAAAAGAAACCCCACCGTCGACCGCTCATTGTAGTAACTAAACCTGGATTGGAGGGGAATTCTTCGGCACGGTTAACAGAATGAGAAAAGGGAAGGGGAAGAATGGAGACGAGAGGAAGAGACGTTTGTTATGGAGAAAAGAATGGAGTACCCCTTGTATTACCCAGTCGTTTCACTCATCTATACGCCCCGAGGCTCTGACCCTGCGCATGCTCGTCGTTGACAAGCACTAGTGGTGGAAGTCGAGAGTCAGCGAATCGAGGAGCTCATCTCCCAGACCCTAGACCTCTACATCATCGAGCAAGTCCCCTCTGCTAAATGTCAATTCCCGGTGGCAGCTTTGAAAACCGTCCAGATCTGGTGGTTTTGTTCAGCCCCTGGTTATTCCAAAATCCTAGATCTCGATCAAACCCAGATCTCAGCCCGCCCTTCGCTCCAACTTCATCCTATCAGATCGCCGATTTTTCCACAAAAATCATCGCCCGAGCCCTTGCCCTCTGCTACTGCTCGACGACGGCGCGACGATGGAGAGAAAATCCTCTCCCTTCTGATGTATTGAAAATCGCCGGCCGGGTTATCATGTTGGGTAATTTTTCGGTGATCTGAATCCTCTCCGACAAGATGACATAGCGGCTGGGCAAGAATCGACAAATCGATTGTTAGAAACCCCTAATTTCGACTCCAGATCTTCGACTACGGTGAGGGGAGATGGCGTCGCTTCCCTACGCTACTTGATTTCTTGCAGATCTGGTGGGGAAGCTCGATCTGGAGTGACGACGGCTGGGGACGGCGATTGGACTTCCTTCTTCTTCTTTCTTCTACCGCAACAATGGCTAGGGACAGCGAGCGCCTGCTGGTGGCCTCGACGATTTGGAGCTTTTGCGACAGTGGAGAAGAACGACAACGATCTGGTGGTGATGACTGATGGCGGTGATGGGGTAAGAGGAGAGGACGATGGGATTCCATCTCTGGAGCGGTGGCCGAGGGTACTGGGAAGGGAAGGGGAAAGAAGAGAGAGTAGATCGAAAATAAATAAATAATTTTTTATTTTGGTTAATTCCACCTATGCGCCACATCAGTCTTTCTGTTAGTCCAATCAGTATGTTAGTTGACACCGTTAAAAAATTGGACGGAAGTGGCTATAAGTGGTATTTCATTAAATTTGACTATTATTGACATAAACGCGAAAGTTTTGGCTATACAAGTGTATTTAGCCTAGAAAGAAAGAAGAATATAGTAAAAATAAAAAAATAAAGTTAAAAGTAAGAAGGCACGTGGGTTTTTTTTTTTTTTTTTTTTTTTTTTGCCAAAAGCTCACTTGCATTACCAAGAGAAATAGATACCAATGTTTACAACCCACATAATAACCAAATCCGAAAATCAAAACCACAAACACCTGCAGGAAACAAAGAAAGAGCCTTTTTGGCTACCAAATGAGCCGCTCGATTGTTCTCCCTGCCTCGAAACCTAACTGAAAAACCTGTGAATAGCTCCCGGAGTTGGGATATTTCGTCTAAAATCGCACCACCCCGCCCGTCCCAAGTTACCCGATCCTTGATTTTGGAAATAACAACTTGCGCATCACCCAAGAACGAGACTTCAGTTAAACCCTTCACAGAGCACCAATGAATCGCGTCCCGGAAAGCCATTAGTTCACTCACAAATGGATCTGTCAAACCTGCATACATAAAACCCTGTGCAAACAACACAGTCCCTGCTTGATCCTGTACCACCATCCCACCCGCAGCATGGGACCCCACCTTTACCGCACCATCCACATAACAAACATACGGCATAGCAACATTCGTCTCTACCCTCCCGCGCACTAACTGAGACTGCACCACCCCCCCAGAACCCAACAAGTCCACCCATTCCCTAACCTGCATATGATACTGACGGAGCAAAACTTCTGCAGAATACTGGAAATGATCAAAAACCACCCAGTTCCTAGATTTCCATATTCTCCATAATAGCGCCACTATCTGCATGATCCTTGTCGGCTCAGTAATCCGCTCCATCATCCTTCTAAGGACCAACGCTATATTCATGCTATCCAAGCCTTGCCGTTCCACCACCAACCCACTCCGCATCCAAAGCTCCTCCGCCACTCTGCAGGTCAGAAAAAGATGCTCCATAGTTTCCAGAAGACCCCAACAAACCGGGCATTGCAGGAGCTCTACCTCCCCTCTCTCGCGCAATTCTTCTATAGTAGGCAAAATACCCCTCTCGCTCAATGCTTCCCTAGTAGGCAAAATACGCCGCATCAATTCCCACAGAAAAAACTTCAACTTAGGCGGAATTGGGAAGCTCCACATCTTCTTCCAAAAACTCATATCCCAAAAGGACACTTCCTCCTTCCATCCCTGTAAGCTCCGCTGAATCTGCATCGCAGTATGATACCCAGACTTAACAGAATAACACCCATCACCCTCTTTAGCCCAAATCAGCTTATCCTGCACTGGAAGTCTCGGCAGGGGAATACTCATTATCTGCTGCTTAACTTCTGCCGGAAAGCACTGGTCCAGACATTCCTCACACCAAGTCCCCTCTCCCGGAATAATTAGATCACACACCCTGGACATCTCATCCACAGGCGCAGAATCCAAAATAGGCAACTCCTTGCCAGCCATCCCCGGAACCCAAGTGTCTCCCAGTACCCGGATAGACTCACCCGACCCTACCTGGTGATATAACTCCTTACACAACAGCTCTCGACCCCACAGAATACTTCGCCAACCCCAAGAGGGCCGCGAGCCCGCTCTCGCATCCAAAATATTTCCTCTAGCAAAATACTTTCCTTTTAAAACCCGAGCCAATAAACAATCTGGTTCATGCAGAATCCGCCAGGCCACTTTAGCCAACAAAGCCTGATTGAAATCCTCAAATTTCCGAAATCCCAAACCTCCATCAAATTTACTCCTACATAAGTTCCTCCAGGACACCCAATGCGTCTTATTCCCTTCAGTAGTATAACCCCACCAAAATCTAGCCATATGCTTATCCAATTTCCGACAAAGGGTTACCGGCAACAAAAAACAAGACATCACATGGATGGGTAGCGCTGCAGCTACAGCTTTTAACAATGTCTCCTTCGCAGCCCATGATAAGTGCCTTTGTTTCCATCCCATTAACTTAGCTAGAAGTTTCTCCTCCAAATATCGGAACGTCTCAGTCTTAGACCTATGGATTAATGAAGGGAGTCCCAAATATTTGTCCTGCACCCCAACAGCTCCCACCCCCAAGATATCCGCCATCTGTTGTCTATCCAACTGATCTAAATTTCGACTAAAGCAAACTGCAGACTTCTGTAGATTCACCTTTTGCCCACTCAAATCCTGATATTCCTGCAGAATATTTAGCAAGTTTTGACATTCCGGGACTGAAGCCTTGAGAAAAAAATATGAATCATCAGCAAAGAACAAGTGTGACACACTTGGACTTCGAGGATTCACCTTAACTCCTGTCAATCTCTTATTCATCACTGCTTGTTTCAATAATGCTGCAAACCCTTCCGTACAAATAGCAAATAACAATGGCGATAAGGGATCCCCCTGCCTCAACCCTCGGGAAGAGCGAAAATACCCACTAGGATTCCCATTCATCAGCACAGAGAACGTAGCTGACGAAATGCACTCTCTAATCCAATGGATCCACTGTGCATTAAAACCCAATTTTCTCATTACAGCAAACAAGAAGGGCCATTCGACTCTATCATAGGCCTTTTCCATATCAACCTTCAAAGCCATATAGCCCTTCTTCCCCTGCTTCTTGATTTTCAGGTAATGCATAATCTCATGTCCAATTAGTATATTGTCAACTATTTGCCTATCTCTGACAAATCCATTTTGCTCTGGTGAGATCAGTTTTGGCAAATGGATCGCCATTCTTTCTGCCAAAATTTTAGATATAATCTTATAAAACACTTGGCATAAACTAATCGGGCGAATCTGTTTCATTGATTCTACAGCCTCCACTTTAGGCACCAACGTCAACCAAGTATGATTGAAACTTTTCAGCATCCTCCCCTTACAGAAGAAATACTGGACAGCCTCAGTGACTGATTCTCCAATGATGTCCCAAAACGCTCTATAGAACTTTCCTGTGAATCCATCCGACCCAGGAGCCTGAGTTGCCCCAATTGAAAAAACCACTCTCTTAATCTCTTATGGCAAAATCGGTGCCATTAACTGATCATTCATCTCCGTCGTGACCACCGAATCCATGGGCAATGGTTGGAGCCTCAAATCCATGTCATTGATCTCGCACTCTGAGCGGAAAAGGGATTCATAAAAACCCCCAGCTATCGCAGCCTTCCCCCCTTCATCTGTCACCCATTCCCCCGCCGCATTAATCAGACCTGGAATATCATTCTTCCTACGTCTTGTTCGGGTAACAGTATGGAAGTATGAGGAATTTTGGTCTCCTTCTTTAAGCCAATGCACACGAGACTTTTGCCTCCAGTATAACTCTTCTGCAGCCCACTGCCTGTTGAGTTCCGTTTCCAGCTCACCTATTCGCTGCCAATCCACATGTTGCTCGGCCCGTACAGCCTCAATCTCAGTCTCTAGTATACGGATATTCCTTTGGGAATTGGTAGTACCTGCTCAACTCCAATCATACAAGAGATGCCTAAGCTTTTTCAACCTCATCCATAACTTGTACATCGGAGATCCTACCAATGTTTCTTCCCAGACATATTTAACAAATAAACGCACTTCTGGGTTCTCCACCCACCTTGCGTCAAATCGAAACAAAGGCCTGGATGCCCTAGCAAACGGCTTATCAGCTAACAGAATAGCTCTATGGTCTGACCCCATGTCAGTACAATGCTTAACAAATGCTTGTGGAAACCGTCCAATCCAAGATAATGACCCTAAGGCCCTATCAAGTCTTTCAGAAACAGTAGCCGGTTCCATCCTTCTATTAGTCCACGTGAAAGGAGGACCTACATATCCTAAATCCATCAACCCCAGAGTATCCATCATATCCCTCACCGCCATAGACTTCAAGGGATCCCATGGCAAGCCCCCTTGTTTTTCTCCTGCATTCATCACACAATTCATGTCTCCTATAATTACATACGGGACAGAAATTCCCTGCAAATATATAATCAAATCATGAACCTGCTGTGCACGAGTTAAAGGATGACAAGAGAGGTAGACTCCCACCACAACATAATCCAACTCATCACTCCCATTTCCATTCATGCACTTTTTCACACCACAAGACACAAAGTACGAAGAATTGTCCAAAATAGAAACAGAAACCTCACTCGACCAGCCCACAGCCAACCCTCCAGAAGCATCAACCGCATCAACTAAAAAGAAAGACGAAAATCCTAACCCCCGCATACGACGGGTTACTACACGCCTAGACGACCTTGTTTCCGACAAAAAAACAATGTCTGGCTTATTAGACCGACACAGACCTAACAACGATTGAAACGTGAGGGAAGGTCCGATGCCCCTCACATTCCATCCCAAAATCTTCATTTTGTTTTTGGGGGCCACTCCCGGCTGGCTACCTCCACCGAATTCTTCTTCTCATTGACTGTATCTTTGCCATCTATGCAATTCTTCTTAGGCGGAGTAGGATCTTCAGCAAGCCCCTCCACCTCCTTAGCTACTCGCTTCTTCTCCCCTGGAATGTCCACTTCAGCAAGTGACAGCTTGAAGACCTGTTTGACCACAGTCCCATTTGTATCCTTTACTTGCTCCTCATTAGTGCCTCCTGTTCCATGCTCCTGCATAAACACAACATCCTCATGTTTATTATGTTTTTGCAGCCCCATTGGCTGCTCTTGAGCACCTCTAGCAGCTCCATCGCGACCTGCAGTCACCCCCCCAGTTGGTTGATACTGTCCAGCAGCCCTATTCAGCATAGGCCCTGTCTGTCCTCTTCCATGATATGGCTTCCTTCGTGCCCGAAATAATCTACCAGCTCCACGACCTCGACTCCCATGTCCAAACCCATGTGCATATCCATCCCACTGAGGCAGTCCGCGCCCCATCTGCTTCTTTAGACCCTGAACAGAATCCTCAATCCTGGACCCCCCTAGATGCCCCCTTGCATGTTTCTGATATCCAGATTGCTCCAACCGCGCCACTTGAGCCTCAACGATACCTTTGGGAACTCGCCCTCCCTGCATCTGTTCCCCCCCCCTTCCGCATCCAAACTTGTGGCGTTGCCCGGTATATTACCAACTCCGCCCACCTTCACTGCAGGATTCAGCCAAACTGTCTTGTGCATTGCCGGTAACAGATGAACCGGGATCTTTGTTTGTTCATCCAAGCGATGCCCTATAATGTCAGTTGACAATTCCGGGCCATAATGCTCTTCCCCTTCAGGATCCGGGAATGAGCAATGCGGAGCCTTATGCCCCAGCCGACCACAATGATAGCAGAACAATGGTAAGAACTCATACACCAGTGTAACCCAAAACTCGCCAATTTGGTCATTACTAGCATATACCTGAGATCGGAGAGGCTCAAACACATTCACCTTAACCTTTGCCTTGAGGAAATGACTCGGTTCACCTTTAATAGCAAAAACTCCAGCATCTAGAACTTCACCAATCTTTGCTCCTGCAACTCTTCTGCCAAACGCAACAGTCCGGCAATGAGAGGGGATATTCCACATCTGCACCCAGAAAGGAATCATCTCGAACGAATTCACCAATTCCCTGGTAATTGGCGCCCATTGCTGAAGATGGAGCACCCTATCCCTCACTGGCCAAGGAGAGCGCTGCAACACCCAATCCCGATCTGCTTCATTGTAAAAGAAGAATTGCAGTAAACCCATTTCCGCCTCCATCACTTGAACCTTACAGTTCCAAGCCCCCGTCACAATCTTATGAATAACAGCCAGACTGGGGGGATTCTCTATAAACAATCTGCCCAACAGGCTTAACTTAACGCCCTGCATCCCTGAAGCAACATCTTCCATAGTAAATTCCACTACCTGATTCCCAGCAACCATACCCATACCCTGTCTCATAGTATCGTCTTTCAATCCCAGCACCATAGCTCCCCTGTTGGGCTGCTTCCTCAGAGTCTCTTCATTTTCAATCACCACCGCCATTGTATTCTGCATCTTCGGCACACTCTGATCACCATGGCTCTCTAGCCCTGTCTGACTCCCCACTGTCAAGGATTCCTCCATCTGCTGCACCTTCTGAGAGTCCTGAGTCACCATCTTGGCATTGCCCTGGTTCTCCATGATCTGCTCACTCCAATTCAAGAACCACACTCTCAAAATCCCAATAAATGGGTAAAACCACAATCGATACAAAAAGGAAAATAAACTCCAAACCATTATAGGCATACCTATCTCTTGTAGACAGTTACTCCTATTGTTCTTCGAGATCCCACACTGGACTCGTTCTTGCTCAGCAACCGCAATACAATTCCCAGGCTGAATGTCGCCCTGGGCTTCTGTGATTAAATAATACCACATCTCTACCGGCCTCAATAGAGCCGTATTCCATGACACCTCTTGGCGATTACTCTTCACCAAGACTTTACTTGATTTGAAACTCCTTTGATAATTATCTGCAGGCACCCACGGAAGAGCCCGAGGGAAATTCGCCGACATCCACAACGGGATAGCTTTTGATTTCTCCAGATCGAGTATCACCCGATTCAGAATTCTATTCCAACCCTCCAACAACGAGGGGACAATTGCTAATTCCTTTACCAGCCGGCAAATATCCGCTGGAATCTCCCTGGGATACACTCTAGAAACCCTAGGGGAGACGATAGCCACCATCGGAGCGGCGAGAAACCCTACTATTCTCGCTAACGCCGCGATGAGAGAGAAGAGAGCGTTTGTTGCCATTTTTTTTTGTAGGAAGAAGTTAGCGGTCATAATTCCGTTGTCTCATTTTTTTAATTGTTAAGTAAATAAAATTCAAAAAAATTAGGCGCCAGCTTGTTTTCCCCAAGTCCACCCGTTTTTATCCTTCTGGGATCGGACTTGTGCCCGGGTCCGGTTTTGCCCGGTCAGCCCGACCGGTCCGTCCCAATTTTCATAACATGGGTTTCATCCGTCGGTCGACCGATCAAGTGTTCTGGTTTACCCTGAGTTTCGCGTGGTGGGAGGTGGGCAATTTGATTGGTTCGGGGCGGTTTGTTTTGGAGATCAGTCTCCGACACCTGCCATCCGGGTTTGATGGAATCTGCCCTTTGCCTGTCGATGGTGGCGGCGTCGGTGGAGAGTGGCGTGGCTTTGTGTGACTTGTGTGTGTGCGGCAGAGGCAGCTTCGGCCACGGCGGCGAATTTCTCAGAGGGGGCTGTGTCTGCTAGGGTTGGGGGGTTAGGGTAATTGTTTTGGGCCTTGGCTTAGGGTCCTATTGGGTTTCGGGTCTGTGTTGAACCCTGTTTTATTCTTGCTAATTTTCTAACCCTTGTTTGTTCATGGTTGTATCTTTTCCTTCGGGCCTTGCCCTTTGCATTCTTAATGATATCCTCTTAAAATAAAACCAAACATTACATGTTTTACAAAACTTAATGACCACGAATGAAATTAAATATTTTTAGTGATCAAACATAAACGTTTTTTATAATCTCAGTGACCACGCTTGTCATTTACCCGTAGTTTAAGAGCATATTAAGCCTGTGATACTCTGTTACGAAGGACCTGTCGTGTTGTGCGTCATAATGTCCCAGAACACGTTGCCTAACGTGCAAAGTCCAATAATTTTTTTTGATAATGGTAACAATTAAATTAGAAGGAAAGAAATACATGGGAAGGGATAAGAGCGTCCAAAGTCCAATAATTAGTCGTTGGTGAATCGTTCAATTAATCCTTTCATACAATAGACTAATTAGTAAACTAGCTTAGCTTTGAACCCGCCCCATTGGGTCGGTGCATTCCTTTTTTTTTTTTAACATTAAGCAACTTCAGTTTCAATTTGGTATTTAAATTATTTTACATTCTCAATATCTTTTACATTGTTGTAAGTGTAACATATTATTTAGGAATTGTTTGCGCGGTTTTATGCTATGTATTTGTAGTGCCCTCGCATGTGATTTTAATAAAGAATGATGACCTTAGGTTTCTCTTTCATCCAACCACACTCTACATTTAGTTTTGATCCTACTCTGCGGGAAGTAAATTTCGTAATCTTTAACTTTAGTGTTCACTATGGATGGATTCTAACTAATAGTCTTTCATTTTTATTTCAGATATAATAAATATTATTATGAAGGTTTATTAATTTTGAATTTGGAACGAATATTTTATAAGTATATTGTTCACCATGGATTGTAATTAATAGTCTTTAATTTTTATTTTAGATATAAAGAATATTATTATGAAGGTTTATGAGCCACCAAGGACCTTTGCGGGTTCCTTCATAAATCCCTTCTATCATACTTTTGTAAATCCAACACCTGAATTCTGTCAATGGTTAGCAATCGATATAGAGATTTAAAATTCTGAAAGCTGAAGAAGGTTAGGAAGATCATGAGCTTCAACATTGCAAGAAGGCTAAGAAGAGTAAGAAGTAGAATGAAGAAAATTAGTAGAAATTAAAATAATAAAATTTCATGAAAAATATTGTATATGTTGAGAAAATAATAATTAAAAAAACAAAATACGCATATGTATATAAATCACCCACAATATTTGAATTCTGATTGTACTCATACACATTAAAAATCTTTCGAATTCGGATTAAAGGATTGGTAAGAGATGGGGATTTCACGTCATCCCACCGTACAAGTTGACCAAATTTGTGGAGGCTCCGTCGTCTGTGAGAGTGGTTCAAGAAAAGAAGGCCGGCAGAGATATTTTCTTTATTTCCTTGGTTGACAGAACACCACATACATATAGTGTATAAACTTAAGATCTCCCCAAACAACAATCTGATACAAACTTCTGTAATTAAATATAGCCTCCCAATTAGCCAATCACCTAGCAAGTTGATTATTGAGTGCAGAAGAAGAGATCGATGGCGAGAATCACCAGCAGCACATCATCAGATGAAGATGGGCCATCCGTCGGGATCCCCGTCGTCGATCTCTCCCCTTTCTTCGCCTTCAACGTCTGAGCACTTCTACTATCCTATAAAGTATTGGTGCTTTAATATATAACTTTAAGTTGTACCATAACATTAAATGTATAAGTTTAGTTTGTACCATAAAGGAATTTGTACCCTTATGTTATGGTACAATTTTAAAACTTAAAGTTGTACAATCACATAAAGATACAAGTTCAAGCTGTACCATAAAAGAATTTCTACAAAGAGTATATGTACAATTCTGTACCATAAAAGAATTTCTACAAAGAGTATATATACAATTTGAAATTGTACCATAATGTTAAAGGTACAACTTTAAGTTGTACCATAAAGGGAAAAACCTATAGCACCAATACTATATAGCATTGTAAAATTCCTCTCAACGTCTACCCCACCAACCCTCCCGACCTAAGGTAACTTTTCTTAATTACTGCAATCTTCAGAGTAAAATATGTGCATTGTATTGTATAGTGTGATAACTCCATCAATTGTAGACTAGTCCTAGTAATTTGCTATGTGCATGGTGTTTGAAATCTTGGAATATGGAGATGGTGGATTAAAAAAATGCAGTGTGTTAAAAATTATGTTTGTACATACTATACTATGTAATGGTGTATTTTAAAAAATTAGGGGTTGTTTACTTGTTTGATTTTAAAACCTTTGAATTTAGCACGGATTTGGTATACCGTGAATTTGAAAGAGAAAATTATTTGTTTAGTCGATTTGATTATGGATTTTTTAGCTATGGATTTATAGCTTTAAAATGTATATCATCTTAATGTATAGCTAACTTTTGCTTCGAGTTTATACTTTGTAACCGTATTGTTAATACGTGCTACGAGATTGACATTTAATAGTAAGTTTGTAAAATCACTAGCCGCAAGATTTTTTAAAATGAATAGCTAATCTCAATATGTAGCTATTATCTTACCATTTATAGCAAGTTCATAAAAAAAATAGACATAAGGGGTTTTTGGGATTACAATACTCCGCATTCATCAAAACTTATTGTATTACTCTCTCGCCATATTGCTATGAACGGACGTTTGATTTCGTAATTTTCATTGATCACTGGTCATATTCAGCTCGCAAGGAAAAAAGCAACAAATGGGCAAAATCATGTTAAGATAAAATATTGTGAGGAATTTGAACCCATATCCCAAATCCAAACTTTCATTTGGTGTTTACAAATTTGTGGGGACTTCAAATTTGACACCAAATTTTTGTTTTAAATCCGTGAACTCCACAAACTTGCTTCCTCCATTTTTCACAAGCTAACAAAGGATTTTGTGATAAATTTATAATGCTTGAAATTTGGTTGGTAAATCCGTCACCCAAATTCAACAATCAAACCACCCTTTAACGAATGTGTACACAAAATCTCAGGGAAGTGATGGAATATGTGTTCTCGTGCCTCAGCAAGACGGGAGGCTTGATTGAGGGCATAATCAACGACTGCTTGGGCCTCCCCACCGGAGTGATCCAACAATTTAACTCAGACAGGAACTGGGATTTCATGGTTGCTCGCCGGTATTTCCCGTCAACGGAGGAGGAAGACAGCCCACCAAGATGGCAACTCCCTCACCTTCGTCATACAAGACGACGCCGGAGGGCTAGAGGTCTGCAAAAACGGAGAGTGGATTCCGGCCACTCCAACACCGGGCGCCATCATCGTCAACGTCGGAGAGACCATCCAGGTTTGTATTCAATTATTTTTATTTTTATAATAATTATGTTGTACGTACCCAAAGAATTCGAACCTGAAACCTACATATCCAAAACTACTAATAATAATATAAACGGTGGTGAAGGTGTTGACCAACGACAAGTTGAAGAGCGCAATGCACAGGGTGACGAGGCCAAAGGGAAGGAGCCGCTACTCGTACTCGTTTTTTTACAGCGTGTCGCCGGAGAAATGGGTTGAGCCATTGCCGGAGTTTACTGAGCAACTTGGGGAGCTGCCCAAGTACCGCAAGTTTCAGTTCGGAGAATACTTGCAGCTGATTAAGAAGGATGTAACCAATCCCCCGCAGAGGCCTGAAGATGCTCTGCGCGTTGCCCACTACTCCATCGAATAATATGATTCAACCCTCGTTTCATAAGTTTCCAATTTCCAAGTGGGTCATCGATCGAGCCTTCACTTATATGTAATTTGTTGCTTAATTACTTCTACTCTCCCCTGGGAATTTGAGTCGGAATCCTTGTATTTGGTTCGATTTGATATATATTCTGTCTGTTATGGTTCAATCTAAATATGATTTGGTTCGACGAACCAACTGATTGCAAACCATATTTACCGCTCAACTTTAGTTATTGATATTGTGACTTAAATATTAGGGTTAATAACACTAAAAATATTAATATTTAGTGAAATTGTCACGTAACTTCAATAATTAATGTAATGTTCCAAATTATTAAGGGTCAACGCTATTTATGTTACCCGAATTTCAATTGATTGTTAGAGTTAACAGTTGAACTAAGAGAGAGTGATCAATCTTGATCTGACCATTTATGAATTGGCACTTATACGTCATTAACGCATGTAACATGTATGAAAGTACTATTGAAATTTTAACTTTTTTTCTAATGATTAATATTTTTAATGGAATATATTTTTTCAACCCCCTTTGTAACCCTTCTAGTTAAATAAATCAGATCCAACAAAGAACTCTTCGCCTTTGGCTCGAGCTCCCGCTGTGAGAATCTCTGTCCACCATCTCCTCCATTCAAATTAGATCCACTGTACCTATTTTCTTCTTCTTAATCGTCTCCTTTCTCAATTACAAGGATTGTCCCATTTCTGAAACGATAGCATACAAACTAGTTTGAAAGAAGCGATGAATCCTTTAGCATCGTTGGGAATCAAGGGAAACTACAATTCTATTGATTATTAACTACAAGGATAACAAAGGGCGGGCTGGGAAAATATAAGCAAAAGAAGCGACAATTCCATTGATTGTTAACTTGCTTGGGGCCCACACGTTGCACGAGGCTCTTTTTGTTTGAACATTTTTATTTCTTTTGATGACTTTATATCAGCTAAATACCTCGGGTACCACTTAAGTTTGAGAATTGGGATAGACATACCACTAAAGTTTGAATAGGGCGTCGGGTATCATTAAAGTTGCCAAAATGTGCATCCGTCTACTTTCCCATCCAACCAAAACTTTAATTACTTTTTGATACCCAAAATTTTTAAAAACATCCAAAAATATATTTCAACTAGTTTTATCTAATATAATAATTAGAAAACCTTCTAAACATATTATATTACACTAATCAAAATTTTTCAATAAAATAGATAAATTAGAAAAATAATAAACAAATATCAAGAAGAATACTAAATATACTAGAATATAATAATAAGTATTTAAAATAAATATTAGAATATCTATTTAAACCCCCTAATTCAATTAGAAGCACCATTAGAAATAGTTAAAATAGAAACTAATCGATCATCAATATATCAAAATAAAAAAAAGGATAAAAGGAAAACAATCATAAAGAATTAAACATATTCCACTAATTGAAAAAATTTAGAACAAAAAGACATGGAAAGTAACAAAATAATAAATAAAATATAAAAACTACTACATTCGGTAAAACATGTAGAAAAGAAAATATGACTATAAAAGCTACAACATTGTTTAGTTACAACATTCATAGAATAATTAAATTATTAGAACACATAATGATAATTGAAAATAATTATAATAACAATTTATTCTATATTTTCTATTCAAAAATTGGTTTTGTATTAAGTATTCAAAAGAGGATTGTAACTAAACAATAAAAAAATGATATTTTCATAAATTCAAATGATTGTCTTACAATAAGAAAAATAGAAGGATCAATTATGAAATTAAGAAAATGGTATATTTCAAGAATGTTGCCCTTAGCAGTAAACTTAATTGGTATCGGGTGCACATATAATAGAGTTTAGTAGTACCCGACGCTTTATTCAAACTTTAGTGGTATGTTTACCTTAATTCTCAAACTTAAGTGGCACTCGAGGTATTTTACCCAGTTTACATCATAATTACGTTCATCTTTATCCGAGACGGCAAATGAGTTTATTCTTAGTGAAGATTAAGATAAAGTGTGTCTCACGAGCTCTAGTAATTAATCTTCTTCCAAATTCCTACGATCTTCTTCTAATTATAGTGTTCTCGAAATCTTAACAAATGAATTGAACTTCGTATGTTTCATTTTATTCAATGCTTTAGGCATATTTATCCTATTTAGAGTACTTCCTAAAGTTTATGTTATAATATTATTTGCTGTCATCGAGAGCGAATTTCTCTCTTATAATTTTCTTTTTTTGGGGTTAACTCTCTGATAATTTTGAAGTAGACCTAACGTAATTTATTGTTTCCTATAATTTTAAAATGTTGGAAGGACCAGCTATCAACAGACCGACTCAAAATAGGGTGAATAATCTTAGGGTGAGTAACAATGAGTAACCAAATCTGGACCATTCTTTTAAATGACTGCAAATTTAAAGGTGGAAAATTAAAGGAATTTATTTTCCCTAGTTTTCTTAATTGGATCATATCTTCTTCATTCTAACTCGGATTTCAATTTTTTTTGCACAGATGGAATGAGTTCGTTGTGCTCTACAAAATGATATCCATTTTCAATATTTTTTGAGAAATTTTTTTTCCATCCCTCTCGTTACCAACTTCATACCATATGGTATCTCCGTTGTTTAGTCATTTTCGGAAATTTTTGCACAAAAGGAACGATTTAATCATGATCTATTGGATTTCAAAATATTATGGGGGAAAAAATTACATACCTCTCGTTACCAACTCCATACCATACTATACCACCCTGATATGAGGTGGTATTTTTATACAATATGGTATGCTGTTATTTAGTAATAACTGGCAAATTTTTTTTGTTCCAAAAAATATCAAAGTGGATATCATTTTGAATCGTTACCAACTCCATACCATACTATACCACCCTGGTATGAGGTGGTATTTTTCATACCATATGGTATGCTGTTATTTAATACCAGTCAATACCATATGGTATTGACTATACCATATGGTATTGACTGGTAATAACTAGCAAATTTATTTTGTTCCAAAAAATATTAAAGTGGATATCATTTTGAAGAGCACAATTAATCTGATCTAACTGTGCAAAAAAATTAAATTCAAAGTTAAAACGAGTGAGAAATCGTTCGTTAAAGATTAAGGGAAAGAAAATTAATGATTTTTCCATGAGAGAGAAGCAAGCGCGGGTGTGGTAGATTCATATTGAGTTATACATGGGTTACTCACCACAAGGTTACTCACAGGATCTGCTCCCCAACGGACCAGCTACCTATATATTAAAAATGTATTAAATTTTTTCACTTGATAGGTTGACGTGTCACCGTTAATAAAAATTGATAAGGCCAATAAAAGAAAAAGACACTTGATTTGATTTGTGCAAGAAATCACATCATCAGCAAGTTTCAAGTGCCGCATGCATTGCGAAGTGTGTGAACAACTAGCAGGAAGATAGATCATGAAAAGATGACTTTTTTCTTTCTTTTTCTGTTTAATGAATAATTAATTAAATCAGAGGAGTAAAATAAGAGTCTATATAAAAAGAGAAACTAAAGACCCTATAAGTTTCAAATTAGGATATTTTTCCAAGAAATATTTGTATTTATTGGGTACCTAAACCTGCTCGGACGATATTTGCCTGTAACCTAGGCTGTAGGAAGTCCCTGCAACTACTCCATCTGGCCGCATACTATTGGGTGGATTTTCCTTTTTATTTTCCTTTTTCAAGTTATGCTACACATACTACCAGCGAGCCAGGTAAATACTCTAACGGAGCATCCTAATTCCGTTTTCTTATTTGCCTTTTCATTTCCCATGAAATTACAAAAATATGGAATAACAATCTATATATTTTAAATAGACCTCCTCGTTAACTTGCGTATATTTTAGTTAGAAAAACTTGTATGAATTTATACCGTTAAAATAAACTATAATCAATTTAGATCGTTGATTACCAAAACAGTGATAACCGGCCGTACGAGGTAGGGCTGTTTACAACAAGGTTATCAAATCAGTTTAAATCATAGAGTCGGTCAAGCAATTGTTAAAGTTCAATGGTTTTATCGACGATCAACTTGTTTGAATCATTTTATACATTTGCTAAATATATATCCAAATTCCTCTGCATTGGACACTTGACAATCTGGTCAATTTCATGACATCCTTTGCACATTCCTTGCTATATCATTAAACTTTTCCATCCTTTTGATCCTGATGTTAATTACTCTTGGAATAGCAGTGTATTTCTTGATTCCACTTTCCCGCCTTATTATTTGCATTCCATAATTTAGGTATTTGCAGAATGCATAATACCCTCATACTCTCGAATAAATGCTGGAAAGAGTATAAGTACATATTTCCAACACTCAGACAAGTAGGTTTCGTTTGGAAGTTGCGAGTGTTAAATAGATGTATTGTTGAGAATGCATGTATAATATTATACATGTATTGTCGTATTTGATGCATTGTAGAATACAACTTTTGGTATGTGTGATTGTGTATGTCGCATCAGCTAAAAGCTGAGACAAAACAATCTCAACTCAACTATCTCAACAATCACAACTAAAAGTTGAGATATAACAATCACTCAAAATGAGTGATAGTTTCTGTCACATCACAGAAACAATCAATGTATTGTTTCTGCTAAAAAAAAAATGATTGTAAACAATACATGCATAATGAAAATCTCAACAAAACTATCGCAACTTCCAAATGACCCCGTAGTCTACAAGTTTGTAAGTAACTTATCAACCCGACCCATTACGTAAATACCGTTTGGTATAAATAGATTTTATAAGTTTTGAAAAATTCATTTAGAAATGTTAACTTTTTGTGTTTGGTATTTAAAAGAATTCATTATCAATTCTAAATTTTGAATTCTACGGAGTTGGAACTAGTTAGAGCAATTCCAAAGAATTGAGATTGAATTTCCAAATGAATTCCACAAGTATTTACTCATTATAATAAAATAACATAATTATCCTCAATTATGAACTAAATTAATTCCACATATGTTATTTGGGGCCAAATCATGCAACATGAGGAATGTCGACAAGAATTTGATTTCAATGCTAGGAGCATAAGTTGGTTATTTGATATTTCTACTTCGATTGTATCAGAACGTTGAGAAGCCACAATTAGAGTGTAGGATTCATCCACAAAATATTTGAAAATAACTAATGAATAGAAACACACAAGAACACTTTTGATATTCTACGTATGGGACCAAAGGCGTGTTTTAGAAGATGGATTTCAATGAATATTGTTTCTGCGGAAAATTAAAAAGGGTGTAGTTGGAAACTTTTAGTTTAATTCAATTGTAAACGTAAGCCAAACATGGTTTGGGAATTCAATTACTTTTATTTTTAAAGATTTGAATATGACATACCAAACACAACAATTCATTTGAAAATGAATTCTACACCGTAATTCATTTTAAAATGAAATGAGTTATCAATTCATTTGATACCAAATAGTCTGATAACATTTTTTTTTTATTTATCTCTTTTCAGGTATTGCAATAAAATTTCTTAAGAATTTTCAAGTAATTTTTGTTTCTCACAATATTATTCTGTTATTTTATTTGAGAATTTGTATTTAATCGTGGAAAATGAAATATTTCGGTTTTATAAAGGAGCACTTCTTTTTGGGACTACATGAGAAACAAGGCAAGTGAGAGAGGGGAAGAAGAAGACTCCGTTAGTCTGCTCCTCGGCTGTTAGTGAGAGGTGGTAGAATTTAGAAATAGGAAAATGAAAAAGATAAATAAACCTGCAACTACTCCATCTGGCCGCACACTACTGGGGAGATTTTTCCAATAATAGCACGTTAAACTTTTTTTTTACAAAACTAGCACACAACCGAAAATAGCACCATTTTTAATAGACCGCACCTCGAAGGTGCGTTTTATAAGTAAACCGCACCCTCTAGGTGTGTTTTTATGTATAAACCGCACCTTGGAGGTGCGTTTTGCGCCATGTCAGACTGGGAACCGCACCTCCAAGGTGCGGTCTGTGTTTGGTGGGCAGCGGCCTTGGAGATCGCAGGATCAGGTGGCGATCTAGCAGGCAGAACGCACGCCACGTCAGCGATCCTTGCCACGGATCGAAGACCGCAGCGCCAGGGAGCGGTCAACCCTCGGGGAGCGTAAACCGCGTCGGGAAGGTGCGGTTTTGACTAGGAAAAATTACCAGACCGCCCCTGGAGGGTGCAGTCTGATGAGTATAAATACCCCCTACCCTCTCTCATTTTTTCACACCACAACCATTATCCACTCTCTCTCTCTAGAATTAGCTCTCTAACCCCTCCCCTCCCCTCCCAAAAGCCTAGGAAATAGTGGTCTGTTGGTTGCGGCTAAATCCGATCTGCCATCAGAAAACATTTCTTAGATTTTTCCCTCAAAACCCGCCCCGCCGAATTTCTGTCTCACGCCAAATCTCTGTCCGACTTTCGCGAGAAAATGGACGAGTGGTTCCAAGAAGAGGGAGTTTATTATGATGAATTTCAAGCGGTACGTAATCATTATTTTGGTCAATTTTTATTTTGCTAATGTACTTAGTGGAATATAAAATAAATTTGAAATAATTTAATCGTATTGGTTGTTTTCAATAATTTAATCGAATACATAGCGGCACTTACTTCGACTCTTTATAAAGAGATGCACGTCTAAGGAAATGGGGTTTTAAGCGATTATCATGATCCTCCCATTTCCTGGGAAATTCGGGTATTAAGAGATCTTCGAATCCCCCCTTTTTATGTCAAAAAGGATGCGTTTCTAAGAAGATGTATACCTCTTCTAAGAGTCTAACGAGTGTTGCATTGTATTCGATTAAATTATTTAAAACAATCAATACGATTAAATTACTTACCAAACAACCAATACGATTTATTTTTATGTGTACTTAAATGAATTTATTAATTTCAAATGTTTGAATATGTATGTATCTCCTTAAATTATTATTCATTTAGAATATTATTTATGCCAATTAATTTAGTATGTTTGTTTTATGACTATATGTATATATCTTGAAAAAAATCACAAATTACTTAAATTTTGATTGTTAATAATATAATTATAATATAATTATATTCTAAATTAAATCATTAATTTTAATTAATTTAGTTATAAGACTAAACTATTACTTATATATCATAAATAATTTTAATAATGGTTGAAATTAAATCATTTATTTTGATTTATTTAGTTATAAGACTAAACTATTACTTATATATCATAAATAATTTTAATAATGGTTGAAATTAAATCATTACTTTCAATTTATTTAGTTATAAGACTAAACTGTTACTAATATATCATAAATTACGTTGAATTTTTTGCTAGGAGGCACAACAAATACTCCGCTAAGGGGTACGACCAATGTGCTCCCATGGAACCCAGTTATCTTGCCCTATCTCAAAAGGGCACGGTTGGAGTCGATTAGACATTTTGTAGACATAAAAGTCGATCGCCAACTCATTACCGCATTGGTTGAGAGATGGAGAAAGGAGACATTGTTTCAACTTTCGCGAAGGAGAGTGCACCATCACACTCAAAGACGTCGCCATCCTAACTCATCTGCCTATCGACGGCAAAGCGGTGTGTGTGAGTGATCACCCCCCCCCCCCCCCCCCCCCCCCCCCCCCGAGGATCGTGACGGTATGACCGGTTGGCAGTATTTCATCCACAGTGTTTTGGGGGTGAAAGTACCAACCAAGGGGAGCGTTGATGCGACGGATCGCTTGCACCATTGAGGAAAGTCTAAGTATTGACAAAGTATTTTAGGGACCATCACGATCCTGAAAAAGATGGGTGCCCCTAACCGAGGAAAGTCCGGAGCTGGAGAAGGAAAGGTATGCTCGTGTATATCTCATGGCCATGATAGGAGGAGTGTTCTTCTCCAAAAAATCGAGCAATTTAATTAGTTGTGGATGGCTTAGGATCCTCCTTGGTAGTTGGGATGCGATGGGGGAGTTGAGCTGGGCATCCGCTTGCCTAGCTAATATCTACCACCACTTGTGCAACGCATCTCTCAAAGTTGTGAGGGAGGTCGGCGGCGCAATGTACATCGTCCAGTTTTGGGCTTGGGAGCATCTGCCATGGATTGCACCGCTCCAATGTCCCGACATGAATTGGGGTCCCGATCATCCCTTATGACTCGAAGCTTATAGTTGTAGGTAAATTTCTCATACCCCATCATGATTTTATAACACAATTTTCCTTATTTTTAGCTTATTTTAATTGAGTGTATTTTAATTATCGTCTTATTAATAAGGTGTGTTGGAGCCTCAACATGCGACAACCTTGCCCAACACAAGTTGGTAGAGTATCGGAGGAGGCTAGAGCTACTTTGGGAAGGAGAGGTAACTAGAAAACTTCTAAGTGCTATAACATTTTTTCATGGAGTACATGTATTTTTCCAATCAGATTTAACTTAAGTTACTAATATTTTTTTGTAGATCAAATTTGATCCATACCCAGCGAACATCGTTCATTGGCATTTACAGCAATTCCCCGAGAATATCGGGCAATGGTGTACGAGGGTCCCTCTCATTTGTTTAGGGACCGTGGAGTGGCACCTGCCGGATCGATGCCTTCGTCAGTTTGGTTGGGAGCAGTGCATTCCGTTGGAAGTCCCCGAGAGTCAAAGGGCGTTTCACGGTCGAGATGGTCGGCAAGGTACTCACGATTGGCCCACGAAGTTGGCGAAATTGATCGCGGTATGGGAGAACCGACAACTTCAGGATATTGTCACTCCAACAAGTGTGGGTCGAATGGGGTATCATGACTCATACATGGATAGATATCGGCAAACATCGGTTCGGTACGTGACTTTGGAGGGTGCGGCCAATGGTGCATTGGTAAGTATATTCTGTCTAATAAGATTAAATTTATTGCTTGTTTCATTCTGTCACATCATTAGTCTTATCTTGCTAATCTTTTTTGTTATTTAGGCTGATGGGATCGAGCGGATCAAAGCGTTGACCCATGGGAAACATGAAATGGGACATGAAGATGTGAGCTTCATCAGGAGGATGACAAACAGTCTGCTTGGCTTTATCAGAGCACAAGGTCGTGATCATCGTTGATACCCACCCATGCCCGCACCGGTGCCACCTCCGGTATGATGCTCTAAAACACAACACCAAACTGCGACCAAGTATAATCGTAGTCCGGGAATGCAGTAAAGTGACAAGTTATATTATCAACCCGGGGTCTAGATCTACTGCTACTTAGTGATTCTCTATTATCTAGCCAACTAAGTTGAGTGTTTGTTGTGTAAAAGCAAAAGCAGAAAGAAAGCAGGAATTGATACGGTTTTCTCAAGCAGGTAAGAGTCACTCGGGAATGAGTCCCACTAGCTCCTTAGTTAGGTTTCAATTGTATTTCCCTGGGTTGATTTACTGTTGATTAGACTGCGGAAGATCCGACAGTAGCTTGGAATCTCTTAAGCTGACCAAGCCCTCTCAGTCTAACTACCCGGCAGACAACTAGTCTTCACCGGGATAGAGAGCTGAAGCAGTAAAAACAGAACTCCACTACTGGAATTAGATTCCAGTACAAAGCAGTAAACTAGCTAACTCTCGTATAGCGAATCTCCTACTACCGAATGATGAGACTCTAGCAACCTAATCAGATTCTATATATCTCAGATTGCAGCAGGAATCAGGAAAAGTTGATCAGACTTCAATTGACTCAATAAACATGCATCATTCGATTGAAATCAAACAGTAATATCATCCCAAGTCATTACAATCAATCCCTAACACATAGAACTAGGGTTCTTCATCCCCAAGTGAGAGAGAGGTTCTACTCCATAGAGAGAGAGAGGAAAACAAGATACAAAGCAGTCATACTCATAATTATGGGAAGAATCTGCTCTGGGATGATGATTTCCACTCCTATGACGATCTCCAAGCTTGATTTGATGAAACCCAGCTCCAAGATAGCTTCTACGATGTGTTCTTCGTCCTTTCTCTCTCTAGGGCTCTGTTTTTGCTCAAGAAATCCGAATCCTCTTCTTTGGCTCGAATCTGCCTTCAAAAACCCGACTCTGGGCGAAATACAGGCAGAATTACGGTCATAATCACGGCCTGCCCGTAATTCGCCTAAAACGCGCGTTTCGCTTTACTCTGATGGAAGAGGAGCTACGCCCGTAATTTCACAATTACCGCCAGTATTTCATTAATTACGGTCGTAATTTGGTGGATGCTTGCCCGTAATTTTAGTGCCGAGAAGAATTCTTGGGAAAAGTGGCTCGACATTGGTTTTACGGGCATGCCCTGACCAATTACGGTCGTAATTTGGCAGGGGCTGCATGTAATTTGTCCTGTGAATCACCATCTGACCTCCAAATGACCCGAAACTTGCGCCTATGCACCTCTTTACTTGCTAGGACCTGAAATACGACAAAACAACACAACCTAGCGTAAAATAGGCCAAGGAGCAATCAATTCAAGCTGAAATGGACAGGAAACCAGAGTGAAAACACGTGCAAATATGATGCTATCAAATTCCCCCACACTTAACCGTTTGCTTGTCCCCAAGCAAACCAAGTCAGACACAAGGTAAGCTTACATATTTCAATCAACCACATTGGGGACAAGTCATAAAGGCACAGAACCCGTGAATCGTACTGGTTTTCAAATATCAACACATGAGCAACTTCAATAGCAACCTGGACAACCACCACAAAGGACATTCGAGTGCAGCAAAATCGAGTAAAGGAAGAGTCTCCCTTCTGTTCACCAACCAACCTAGACTTGACTCAACCACTTACTCAAAACAGTCAACTCATGCATCCAACTAAAGACATCAGAATAGAGACCGAGCAATCTAGGTCCTCACCGGGGTACAAGAGTATATAGAATATGAAAAATGAATCACTCACTATCGACCAGTGGGGTCAGGACAATTTGATGCGAAAAAAGCGCATGTTATTTCTCTCAATCCCTAACATCTCTTCACCATGATGGCAGCCTCTAAATGCTAGAGTTCACATATGGGGTGTCACCACTAACTAATCAGGAGGTCTTAGACACAGGTTCAAATGACTGGCTAGGGTCTTGGACATGGGGAAAAGGCCTTTTAGGTGGTGGAAGTAGTCATAGCACAAGGTTCCACATTTCCAAACCCACACAATCACAATCAAACAAACCGGTATTTCCTTTCTGCTATTCTGCATTACTCAATATCTCAAGAGCACAAGAGCGAAGGAGGTATAAATGTCAGCATTTCCAAGCCAGACTGCTAAGAAACACTACTTGCTGGGCATTATTCAGATTTTTGGTAGTGGCTCTCTTTGCTTTCAATTGTTCTTTGTTTTTCTTTCATTTTCTTTTCATTTCTTAAGAGAGCCACCACTTCTGCACATATTTCAAACACATGCCCAGCTCAACTTTTAAGCACTACCTCCCAACACTCACAGCAAATTATTTAGCAGAAACAGCAGAGAATATGTAAAAACCACTCTGTGGAACCTTCTAAAAGATGCAAAAGGGTGATTTTTTTCATTTCAGACCAAAAGAAAGGATAACACACGGCTCAAAAGGGCTGACTAGGGGATATGACACATCAGGACAGTCAAATTTGGTCGTGGGCTAATCCTATGCCCCCATCATCTTAGCTAGTGACAATGTGAATGCTACACATCATGGAAGATGGATCTATCGCACAAGAAAGAAACGAGCAGGCTCAAATCTCACATGGCTACCTATATGCTCTATCTCACATTCTGATACCCTGAACTAGATGCATAAACGACTGTCAAGAACAAGTGATTAAATCAAGTCACAGTTGGTAAGCAAACAGTTGAAAGAACTGAACCCCTACACAATTCTACTGCACGTCTCAGTCCTCATCATAGGTTGTCCTAGTCACAATCAAGCTGTCATGCATCAATCCGAAAACCATTCAATTCACCAATCAAAACACAGTGCCAATATGATCAAACAGCAGTACTTGGAGCCCTCAAATCGTAAGATTCGGACAGCGGACTAGGCTCCAAGCACCCATATATACGTTCCAATAAATGCAAAGAACCCCCCCACACTTAGATGCGACAGTGTCCTCAATGGAGCAGAGGGAAGGGGAACGATGTTACCGTGAAACAGTGGTCAGGAACGTTGACTGGATGGCGGACCAGTCAATCGCAGAGGACTGGACAAGGACCAGTCCAACGGGCACAGAGCTAGAAGCAACAAAACACACACATTGGGTGAAAGAAATCATAGTTCCAAGTCTACAATCTACACAACGGGAACAAGAAATAAAAACCAAACACAATCCAGAGTCGAAGTCTGGAAAGAAAGACAAAAGCTGAGCCCAACTAGATGGGCTAGCAAAGCCAGCTCAGGGCTCATCGCCTCCATTGCCAGCTGGAGGCGGGTAGTAGTCCTCATGGCCCGGGGACTCCTCCCAAGGGTAGCTAACAGCAGCAGGATCCATGTCCCAGTAGCTCATCATGTAATGCTGAGCTGAAATGATGCGGCGGCGACCTTTGCGCTCACGGTCGAGGCGGGCGTTGAGGTGCTCCTGGCCAGCAAGGATCTGCTCATTCTGGCGGGAAAGGGCCGCCAGCTGCTCGGCAATGTAAGTGGTGGGTGCGGCAGCAGATGGGCCGGCAGCAAAGGTGGAGGTGCCAGGCGCAGAAGGAGTGTTCCGCCGACGACGAGTGGTCCGACGGGCTGCAGCATCACTCGCCTCGGGGGGGTCCTCACCCTCTGGTGCACGAGGAACAGGGCGAGGAAGGCCCCGGATCCAGATCACGTCCCCGTCGCACTGCAGTATCAGCTGGCGCCGTAGGGTGTCCCTTGAGAAGGGTTTCGCGGGCTGTATGAGAGTGAACCTGGAGAGGTCGATGTTGTAGTACCGTGCCAGGGCAGTGACCACCGGCCCACACGCCAGGGGTCGACAACACCGAGAAGCCTTGACGACAGTCCTGGCGATGAGGGAGGACAGATGGAGGTTGTCCACCTCCTGGCTCATGGAGTGCAGGCAATGCAAGGTGCGGAGCTGAAGATGACTGCTGAAGCCCTAGCTGGGGGTGTAAGACTTCCCCAACAGCTGGTTGAGGATGCGCCACTCGGGGCACAACTGAGTGGCCGTGGTGTAGCCCGGTGTGAAAACAGCGCCTGAGAACTCCGGGAGGCAGATCCTCTCGAAGAACTGCTGGTCCCGAAAGATGGGACTGTCGGGCTCTTCGATTTCCAGGTGACAGGCGAAAGGTGGAAGGAGCCCCAGTGCCCGACCAAAGTCATCATAGCTAAGGGAGTAAAACTCCCCTCCGAGTCGGAACTGGATGGCGTTGTTGTGCGCGCCCGCGTGGGTCTGGAAATGCTCGAAGGTAGAGTAGAACTCCCAGAGGAGCTCCTGATAGATCGGCTCAGCGAGGCAGAGGAGGCGGCGCCAAGAGTAAGCGCGGATGGCAGCCTCCATTGCCTCGCGAGCACCCAGCTCCTCGAAAACCCTCCAATCGAGGTAATGGTGCTGAACGACTTTGCGGCGTCGGATGTCCTTCAGAGTCTTCCTCTGGTCGGCGTCGAGCATGGTCAAGTAAGTGTTCATTTTCCTGCAGCCACAAAACAGCAGAAACCCAACAACATTCATGGAAATTCATCAATGGTGAGGTCACAATCATCCTCACCCGGGGCCCTCGAATCATAAATTCGGACAGTGGACTAGGCCCCAGGAAAGGAAAAACATTCACAACCAATAAGAACCATTCACCATTCACACAAACTCAAACGCACTTTGAGCCCTCGGATCATACACCCGGACAGCAAATTAGGCTCCAAGCGGGGCAACCACAACTCATGTTACTCGGTAGGCCAACCAAAGGATGAACAAACACAGCAAGCAATACCGGATGCCTACTGAATTAATTAAAGCACAAACCAATCCCCAAATTTCCTCACTAAACCCACAATATCAATCCTCTACAAATGACAAGTAAAAATAGAGAAGCACACCTGGAGGCACAAGAAGATATCGTGGGGAAGGTGAGGGAAGAGCGAGAGAACACGAAAATCGCCAGGAAGCATCCCGGAAGGCTCGCCGGAGTGTCGTTGCCGACGACTTCACCAGATCCAAACTGACCCAAAACTTTGTGGAATGAGGCCCCGGGTACCAGGAACGCGGTGGTGGTCGCGGTTTCTCGATTGGAGGTCGGAGGAGAGAGATCGGGCCAGAGGAACACCGAAGGGTCGCGGTTTTCCGGCGACCCAAACCACCGCCAAACTCAACCCCACTGGTATAGACTTGTGGGCGCCGACGAGAGGAGCACGGGGGTGGTCTCGGAATTCAATTTGGAGCTCC